AATTTCTTAGAAAAAGGACACTTCTTTATAAATAATATATATTATAAAATAATTATAATTATTATAAATTTCGAATATATAATAAAATTAATCCATTTCTCTTATTTAATATAAAAGTTATAATTTATAAAAGTAATACAAACTGTGCTTGCAGAAGTCCTTATTATTTCCTCGTAAGATGGTGGTCTGTCTATTTCCTCATGAACTGTTTCTATTGTATAACAGGTAGTATCATAAGATTCAAAATCTTCGAGTTGAGAAGTTGGCCGATTTTCAGTTCTCATTCGTATATCAAGTAATCTCCTACATTAGATGTGATATAAAATATAATTTAAAATAAAATTTTATATAACTTATGAAAATGGAATCTTACTTTTTAATTGAATATATTAAAAGTATTATGAAGATTCCAGCGATTAGCACAGAAACGACGCATACTATAATCAATATGTTTGTGATTTGTGTAGATTTTCTGCTTTTCGGAAAAACTATAAAAGAATAAAACTGATTATATCACCATGCCAACATATCACCATTCATTAAAACAAGAAATAACTAAACCGTTTTTATTATCAACACAAGCACTTCCGATATTTTTATCAATGTCATCTTCAGGCGAAGAACATAACTTCGGAATATTAAAATTTTAAAAAAGAGAAACATTAAATATTCGAAAGTGAAATACGTAGTTTCGAATATAACGTTAAATATTTTTTTAAAAAATCAAATTGTTTTAAAATTAAATTTAAACCAACATAGTCACGAGAACAACATGGGCATAGATATAAATTAGTATGAAATAACAATAAAATTACATAAAATAATAAGATAAACGTTTACATGCCGTTACTAAATTTAGGATTAATGCAAATAGGTAATACCATGACAATATAAATGTTAAACGCCGAAACTTTTAAAAAGTGATACCCAAATTCTTGGAAGATCCAATGTCGATTTATTACATGGTTCCATTCTTTCAATAAATAACGCCTCCCAGATAAAAGTAACTTTGTTGTCAATTATTGCATTAGCAGCGAAGTCTTATTCCATTTTAGCACACAATTCCTTTCCATCATAGTCATAGTAGTATTGTTGTTACAGATATCGTTCTGGTATTCAGTAAGACGGATTTGTAATTTTCTTGTCGTGGCCCCGATGTAAAAAATATTTTGCATCGCTGTCTGGCGGTTTTAATGAAACCAAATAAACTCCCGATTTTTCTAGTGTGGAAAATACATCTCTGTCGTTGCAGAGGAGCCTGCGAGAGGTTATTCGCGGTTTAATGGGAAGAATAAGCCCATATTTCTTTAAAATTTTGGTGATGCGTAATGAAATGGGCGCTAGATTTGAAATGGAAGGCGTTATAAACGTAAGCTTCTCACTTTGTGCAATCAATGTGGGCGTCGGTAGTGTCGGATGTGGGCGGGAAATGCGACCTATGTACCCGATTATTGATATGTTTAAACTTTGCATGCGTATATCCCGCTTTGCGGGTTTCTGTTGCTATAATGTGTAACTCCTTGCGTATTAAGTAGTGAGAGAATGGAAGTAGATAAGCTCCTCGAATAAGTGCAGCAATGTCATTGTTTATATACCCTGGTGGTTGGAAGGATGTGGTGGGTATAAACTACGTTATGTAAGAGTATAAAATAAATTTATGATGTACACCATAGCTAATGTCTGTAGGAGTTCCATAAATTAGTAAATCCAAAAACCTAATCTTATTACCTTTTTCACTTTCTATAGTAAAATGAATAGAAGAGTGTACCGACGACAAAAGCTGTACAGACTGTGATAATTCGTCAGTGGTTCTATCCCATGCTAAAAGAACATTATTGCCTGATGTATAAGAGCGGGGTCACGAGAGGAACTGAGAAAATATTAAACTCGACATTTCTCATAATTAGCTCCGTTAAAAACTCTATTAAAAACTAAAAATATCGTTAACAGTTACATTTAACAATATAACAGTTAACGAAATATGATTTATAGCCTACTAGAGCTGAATAAGTAATCAAGCTTTGACATTACAGTAAACGTAAGGCAGTGGCGTAGCGTAGTGGGCGGCACATTTTAGGGGGCGGCAAAATTTCACAATAAATAATAATAATATCTTGTAAAAATTTGAACCATTTCATTTCATATTTTCGTCGCACCTACGATCGGACCGATTGAAATGAGCCCGGGATAGCGTTACCAACCGGACAGTCCGGGAATTGACTCACCGTCCGGGTGAACTATTAATTTTACCCGGAACATCGTGTGCAACCTGTCGACATTTTTTTTTTTTTTGCTCGTGCGATTCATTCATATTCATATACACCTCCAATATCCAATAGAGCTAAGTCATCTAGGTTACTTACGTTCCTCCTACTCTAGTCGCTAACTGTAACTGATTTGGAACCGGCATGCACTGCACATTATTCTTCGCATTGCAAAATGACATACGCATGCGTCAGGAACTTCTGTTCGAACAAACTTCACCTGCCGTCCGGGTCAGCGATTTTAAAAAGGTGGCAACACTAGCACGGAATTTTTCATTACTTATTATGTGACGAAACTGAATTTTAGTCTTTTAAATTGAGATACCTAAATAAGGGGACGGTGAAATTTTCCTTTGCCCCGGGCGGCTGCCACCCACGCTACGCCACTGACGTAAGGAATCAAAATTAAGAAGGATCAGGAGAAAGATTAGTATAATTCTATGTATTATATACAATAGGAACCTGGTTAACTCTAACCGGGATAACTCGAAGGCATTTTCTTTCTTTATTCGTCCAGTATAGCGATTTACACGTTAAATGAAAGTGGTTAACTCGAATTCGTCGAACTGTTTAATTCGAATGGGGTTTTGATACAGTACAATATTGTCATAAACTCGCCAGAATTTAACTTTAATTTTCCGTTAAATAAAATAATTAGCGTTCATCTATCAAATAAACTAATCAAAAACTTTCTTTAACGTTGCTGCGAAAGTTAAACAACTCGTTTCTGGATTTTTTCTTTTTTGGAAACTTAAAGCTCCAAACGACGTTTCAAGCAGGCGATCTATTATAGAATACAGCACATAAATTGTTGATCTTCTTTACTCTGCTGTGACGATTCATCCAGATCAGCTACATCATTCGCAGATTCAAACTGCGTTGTGTTTCGCAGCAAGGCACTGTACATGATTCTTCTAAGGAGTCCCCTTCCAAGTTGAATTTAGAGTTTTCTAATCACATACACTGTCTTTTAAGTAGATTCACACTTTAGATGAAAACTTTTAAGTGTTTTATAATAGTAAAAATACAAAAATCACTAATTAATGTTCTTTTGAATAAGCACAGGAAGCTAAAAGTCACTTATTACAGAACGCCTGTACGCACACAAAACACTCCAGTATGACAGGAACACGTCTCTGCAAGCTAGTCCTGTCGACGATTCTACTAAAGGAGCCCTGAGGTCAGAAGCGTATCTACATAGGGATTATTGAACTTAAGCCCTGAGCCCCCAAGTGTCAAGGGCCCACAAAAATTGAATTATCATCATAAATTTTTAATACTTTTTCATTAACAATGAGCATTTAACATATATAAAAAGTAGCTAATATTAATAATATAATAATAATGCTAATTTATAGTATTATTTGAATTAACAAAAAATGGGGCCCCATTGGATTTCGAATAGTCCTAGGCCCCAAAAAACCTAGATCAGCCCCTGCCTGAGGTGTATTCAGGTTGGCTCATGGAAGAGTTCAACTCAGAGTAAAGAAGGGTAGACAGGATGAGGAAAATACACATGCCGTATTTTTCAAGTGAAAGGTTTCAAATACAAATGTATTAAAAATAATATTTATACGGCTCTTCAAGGAATTTACGGGAATAGCCTAGTCTCCTTAGTCCATTCTCGGCACGCTACTGTTGCCGATGATTTCTCAGACTAGCTAACGTAAATAAAGAAATGAATTTTTGATAAATTAATTAAATACAGTAGAGCGTCGTTTATCCGAATTAATTGGGGACGGATAACTTATTTTTCGAATAACCAATTATGTACGAAAAAATATATTACCGTATTTTGACGAGTGTAAGTCGCTGTCGAGTATAAGACGCACCCCTATTTTGAGACAGAAAATTTAGAAAAAACTTTTTTAATGGGAGATTGCATTTTATTCGTTTTTTTTATTCAAGAATGTGACGGATGCATTTTATTCATTTTTTTTTTATTAAAAAGATGCATTTTATTTGTTTTTTATTCAAGAATATGACGGATGGGTGAATCGTCACCTTTATTAAACTGAAATAATCGTCATTTCTTAATGTAAACTCAGAGGTCACGCAATGACAGTCGACAGAACATGGCGACGATGACTCGTGTGTCGCTATTCTGATAATCTAGGTACAGTACTCTAGCCATTCGGTTGAGGGACCATGTGCTTAACGGATCACTGCACAGGTTGGTCCCTAGAGTGGACCACTACTGTAAATAATTTCACTGTAAAAATGGTTACCTGTCGAGTATAAGACGCACCATGATTTTGAGCCCCAAAAAGTAGTAAAAAAAGTGCGACTTATACTCGTCAAAATACGGTAATTTATCCCGTGTTGAAATTTTTCTCCGTTGCGTGTCGCTTTGCGTTGAATTTTCGTCGATGTTAAGCCTAACGAAGACTATTGTATCGTTAAAAATTATTTTTTTATTTTGTACAAACAAAATAAATATATTGAAAAATATAAAAACAATAAAAAAATTATACTTCAGAAGTTAATTTAGTATCAAAAACGTAAAATATTTGAGTAGCCAAAGACATAGCCAAAGATTACAGCGCCACAGCACTGGCGAAAATTTAAATTCGTCGACTGGAATTCCTTCGGATAACCGACGTTTCGGATAACCGACCTTCGGATAAACGACGCTCTACTGTAAATCAATTACAGTATATTTTGATTCTATGTAAACAGTTTAACTTTTTCAGCAAAATTTTAAAAATATAACATTCGTAAAGAGTGTTTTTGTGATAAAAAATAAAAAAAACGGATTTATTCTAGGGCGAAATATCTCAATTAAAAAAAATCCTTACTAAACACTTAGGAATGAACGGATCAACAATTCCGAAAAGCATTTCTTATTTCGAGTTAACCAGGTTCCACTGTACTTTTAATGAAGTCTGAATCAATGTTCTACGATGCAATTTCTTTAAAGTGCTTCAAATACTGTGTTAACAATAGGCCTATATGTTGTTACTTCGATTTTATTATAAATTTTTCATCAGGATGGTAAAAAAATACTCTGTTTGTTACAGAATACGATATTAGTTTATAAGAGCATCGATAATGTTTCTATCGCATTAATTTCAAATAATTATTTACAATAATGGCTGAATATAAAATTAATTATTAACCAAGAAAATAATGCAATGTTTATATGTAGTTATATTATTTTAATGGTAATTTATTAATAGAATTATTGATCTAGTATAAATATAGGCCTACATAACTGTTAAAAG